CAAATGGCGTCCCCTTCCCGAAGTGCCCTTGAAGGGTGCAAAAAACTGTTTGGAATTCGCCCATTGTGTGTTTGTTAATTTTTTCATTCATTTAATTTCTATGTACTAAAATGTATAGTAAATGTACATACATACTTGAATATACCTGCTAAAATGGGCAAGTTTTAATTTATCAAGTAAAATACATTTTTATATTATTTTTGGGAGTATAAAGTTTGAAATGTCAGTGTAAAGCAGCTGTCCTGAAATCTTAATGAAGAAGAACACCTCGTCAAAAGAATTACATTTTTGACAAGCTTATAAAGTAGTCATTATTATTTCTAAGAAAAATATTTTATGGAATTTTTATTATAATTATTTGAAAAATGTTTGTTTGCAAAACGTTTGTGAGATTAGTTCAGGTTGTAAAATGTCACATGGTGCTCCCCAAAAAACAAATATTTATTAATTAAAAAATGTATGATATTTGTAAAAATTACTTTTTACCTTAGAAAGTATATACTTAAAAAAATAGATATTCAAAAGATTTTTTTTTTTTAATCAGTGTTGTATGTCATTATGACTCAAATATTAATTAAAATGTACAGTGGTAAACAAAAATAACTGTCATACTCATTCCTGTTAACCATTTAAGTACATGATCTATATTTTACTCTAGCCAGTTCTGAAGAGACGCAGTGAACACATGAAACCGGAGAACACCCAGAGGGTCAACTTGAGCCCTAAGATGTCTTTTCCCTCTAATGAGGTCCAGTCCATTGGCCCCTCCTCAGAGAGAGGACCCTCTCCACTACAGCTTCCCAGAATTCCTGACCACATCAGGGATAAACAGGTCTAGACACTCTCATCATAGACAACTATGGCAGATGTGTCTTGTAACATTAGTGACAATTTTGTGCATTTTATGTGCTGATTTCAGGTGCAGTTGACTCAGGGCTCGCTCAGGATCCCATTACCTCCTAAAAGAGCCAAGAGCTCATCTAGAAGTTATGCCATTGCAGTTTCACCTCTGAGCTACACCCCCTCTCCACCACTGTCTAGTTCACTGCTGTTCAACTCAGTAGAGGAAGTAATTCGTGCCAAAATTCACTCACCACCCGACATTGTCCAAACCATCCGGTATAACCCTCACTTGGGATTCCTCTATGTAACGTCTGCAGAACCTAAATCATCCATCAAATTTGATTCATACAATCTCAAGTAAGAACTGCAGTTTTTTCAATCACATAGAAATGTGTTTGTACACTACTGTTTAAAAGTTTAGGGTCAGTTATGTTTAAAAAAAAGAAATTAATACTTTTACTAAGAAATGATGCATTAAATTGATCAAAGATTTTTACACTGTTACAAAAGATTTCAAATAAATGTTGTCCTTCTGAACTTTCTATTCATCAGACACTCCTGGAAAAAAAGTATCACGGCTTCCACAAAAATATTAAGCTTTTTTTCAGCATTGACAATAATAAGAAATGTTACCAAGTCAGCATCAGAGATTGTCTTAGATGAGAGGGTCTGTATTCCCTAATATTGCAGGAAGCGTAACGGCTAACTTGGATCGCGTGTGCTGTAATAACCAATCACATTACAGCCTTGACGTCACTGAATTTCAGTC